TGGTGAACCAACAACGATCACATGGAGTATACATGATTTAATTAAATCCGCATGCTTGCTAGAAGTTCCCCCAAGGACTGTGACCTTTGATGATGAGCAGGAGATGAGGAGGGTCTACACTCTAATTTATGACACCTTCCGTTGTAAGTATTGACTTTTCGATTTCCGAAGTACGCGATGACTTCTTCTATTGTACCCTCCTAGTTACTTGTAAATGCCATATCCACAACATTCTTGTATGTACCTAATGTGCACTACCTTTAATTATTATGGCAAACCTTTAGTTTAAATTTCTGTAGATAAATAAAAACCCAGATGCTACCTACAGCATCTGACGGTGCGGGATGGGCTTAGAATCTTCTCCCTTTGAAGGAATCCTGGGAAATGGTTTGGCACGCTCGGATTAAGTGTCAACTTTTTCCGTTTTTTTAAAACTAATTTACTCTCCCTCTGATTTCAATAATGAACATGATTTTCATCCTTTTTTACAAAATTATAATCTTCAAATCTAATTTGAGAACGGCAAATCCTGAATAGTTGAATTACATTAAACTAGATTTCTTAGGGCAGTGGCGTATTAACCTACCTATAAACCGGCAAAGCCCGGGCTTAGAGCGCTGAAATTTCAGGGGCGCAAAAAAGGGGCGAACAAAACACTATCTAAACAACTTAAAAAGCAATCGTAAACGATTTACAAAAAGCGCATTTCCACTTCCATTCATTTCCCATTTGTAAGATGCAACTTCTGTTAAAATCGTAAATATCCGGCCACAAATATGAAAGATAGCGTTGCAAATGTGCAATCCATTTTTGACGTGCTACTTCAATTTCAGTTTATGAGAAGAATTTAATTTCAATGCTTTTCTAAATAAGAAAGTTGGAACTGCGCATGCGCAAATCTAAATTTTGAAACTAACGTTTGATTTTTCTTTATTCCAAGTGCCTATGTATCAAATTTCATTTAAATACTTTTACAAATAAAAAAGTTCGCAATTCGGTTTATAAATGGTCGACATGCGAAAAGGGCACTGTAAATTTTGAATCGATTCGACTCAACTTTTGGGATTGCGTATTATATGGCTAAAGCTATGCCCATATTGAATTTCATGCAATTCAGTTCATAACTAACGGAGATCTAAAAGCGATCGGACATTTCTAAACAAAGTTATCGTTCACACGGACAGATAGAGGAACAGGCAGACAAAGGAACAGACGGACAGATCAACAGACAGACGACAGACAGCAATACAAAATCATAAATGATTTCTAGGATCGTTAATAAACGGCAAAAGTGTACAATTATGGAACATGTGAAAAACGGTTTTTTGGTTTTTTTACAATAACTTTTTTAGCAATAAACGCAGAAAAAATTCCTTCCTTGGTGCAAGCCTCGACACCATAACGAACCAAATAGCGAAAAAAGTAGAACAATAGCTCTTAAGATAAAGAACTAGTAGCGTCTCAACGAACGAGCGGACGGACGGACGGACGGGCAGACGGACGAACGGACGGACAAAAGCGCATTTTTTAAGAATTAAAAAAAATGTGCTATTGTTTGCGTTTTGTCCGTCCTTCCGTCCGTCCGGACCCACTTCTACCGTTTTGAACTACTTCTAGGGGAATGGTCCTAGAGTCCTGGAATTTTTTGCAGTAGGTAGCTTATACCTTGAAGGTGTGCCAGACGGCCATTAAATTTCGCTGTCTAAAAGGGGGGCCCCCCCACGAATTATTTCCTGAGATGCTGTTTTTGAAAGTAAAACGTGCATAACTTTTACATACAACCAATTGGTCTCAGATTTTGCATACGCATGCCTTTAGTGGTGCCAAGTTAAACTTTAGAAAATGGGGGGAGGGGAGTAAACACATGTTCTACCCTTCATGGTATTCTAATGAAAGGTCTCATCGAAATAAATTGGTTTGTACAAACTATAACTTTCCCGTGCGATTCTCATTTTCGAGATCAGTGAGCGACGGGGCCTGAGGGAGGGGGTTAAAAATTAATTTTATCTCTCATTGTATTCTAATTAAAGGTCTCAACGAAAGGAACAGTTTTCTACAAACTACTGCCCTTCTTTTTGTCCTCTTATCAAAGTACGGGCAGAGGGGGGGAGTGGAACATGGTACTCTAATGAAAGGTCTCAACGAAAGGAATTAATTTATACTAACCATAGTCTTCCTCCTCGATCCCTTGTCGTGATCGGTTATAATTCCTTATATCTTAAGAGTGAATTGTCACAGGAAAGTACCTACAAAGGGCGATTGGGACGTTTGCAAGAAATATAACCATTGGGTATTTAAATAAAATTTGATACATAGCCACTTGGAATAAAACCAAATTTAACCCCAGTTTCAAAATTTCGTTTTGCGCATGCGCAGTGCCAACTTTCTGATTTATGGAGGGATTTAAATTAAATTTGATACATAGCCACTTGGAATAAAAGCAAACGCAACGCCATTTTCTAAATTTGATTTTGTGTAGGATGTGCAGTGCCAACTTTCTTATTTATGGAAGAAATTTCGTAGGGGTGTTTAAAAAAATGCGCTTTACCTGCACAAGGGTTGTGCAAAATTTTAAATATATGGGCAAATAAGCAATTTTGTGCGGTTAACTTCTGTATTAAAATAAATCGCTAATTATCACAAGTCCCTTTTGACATCTTCGTTAGTTGTGAACCGAATTGAATGAAATCAAATTGGGCTTAGTTTTATCCATATAAGACGCAATTCCGAAATTTGGGTTCAAGATTCAAAATTCACAGTGCCCTATTGCCATCTCGGTCATTTATGAACCGAATTGAATAAAATTCAAAGTGGGCATAGCTGTAGTCATATAAATACGCAATTCCCAAATTGAAGTCTAATGGAATCAATATTCAAAGTGCCTTTTTGGCATCTCTTAGGACGCGCGAAAGTCTACTTGAGGGTCCGGAAATTGGAATGTCATTCGATTAGTCACATCGAGTGTTACCAAATCACATGCCACTTGGCGTTTCCAAGTTGCACAATATATTTTTCATTTTTCATTTATTATTATTTACCACGTTACATATCTGGTAGATGTGTTTGTGGCACGTCAAGCATAACATATAAAACTAACATACAAAGTAACATACAACATAAATATACATTATACGATACAATGATTTTACATTTAACATATATATAAATAATATTTTAGGTAGGTACATACATGTAAGCGTACAAAGTTTATAATATGTCTGTCGGTGATATTTGTGTGCTTAAAAATTCATTGACTGAATATTTAACGCTTTACTGGTAAGGAAACGCTTAACTTTGATTTTAAATTGTCTATTGTCGAGTTATATTCAAATGTTAGTGGTGTGTGCTGCAAGGTTTACCTTTTCGGCGATCATTGCTTTTGTCAATAACTACATCCATATAGACCGAAAAAATTTTATTCTTTAAAGTTGCTTAGAATGATCCAAAACGGCGACATTTGATGAAATTTTATCATGTCCAAAAAATTGTGATTGCAATAGCCACCTACCTCGAGTTAGAGCTAATAATAATAATCACAATGTTACGTATACCTCTTTCTTTTGGCTTTTGATCAAATCATTTTCGCTTCGTTGTACAATATGGTAAAATAAATCAATTTGTTGGATTCATTTTTTTCTGTTTATGCGTGCATAGAAAATATAAGTTCATAATTTTATTAGGTACGTTCGTCTAGTTTATTGCTGTTGTCGGAACCAATCACCGAAGATAACAAAATCAATTCGTCTTTTTATTACGTTCATTTCAACGACGTCAGTTTGTAACATTTTAGAGGGAAATCTTGACAGCTTTATTAGTCCTTACAACTTTTCATTTGTGTTTCAGATAAAGGAATTCTCAATCAGGCCTTAAACGATGTTTCCTTCTATCAATTATACAATAATGTGAGTTTCTATTCTTGTTTCCTCGTATTTCCATTTTAATTTGTAGATGCAACATTGCACCACAGCGATATGGTTGTTATTTTTTGATTTGTACCATCGAAGTTTTAAAAAACGAGATTCTACCGTTATCGAGCAAGCGACTGAACTACTTACTTCTATTGGCATCATCCACATTGAAAACGCTCTGTGGGAACAACGTATAAAACTGGCAGCGGCGATTGCAAAGTTACGTATCAAAAACAGCGCCCTTAGCTTAAATGATCTTCTACCGAAACACTTAAGGGACGAGAGGGTCTCCAATGGATTCGACCATAATGCTGTGACTTGTTGGATAAATCCCAATAAAATCAAGTGAGCACGTACTGATATCACCAGCTTAACTAACCGTTGCATGTTTCAGGAACGAAAATGAAGTGATCAGCGTTTTAGAAAAGGCCTTGTGTCTAAGGAGTATTGATTTTAATGCAAGTCTTTCACCAAATTCCTATAAATGGGATCAGTTGTGTCCAAATTTTCTCACTTTCCATCACTCTTTACGTTCAATTCTGGCTCGCAGTTACCTGGTACAAAAGCACAAACTAATTGTACAGGTATATTTTAAGATCGCTTTCGAGCACTTTAAAATAAGGTTCTTTTTGTGCGTACGCTACCTTTGCTGTCCATTCTTATAACGTTTACCTACCTGATGTTAAGGGCGCGCTATCAGTATTGTGTGTTGCCTATCTCACAATAGCTTTCTTATGGGAAACATGCCTAACGTAATTCATACCGTTTTTAAAAACTATACTTTTTTTTGGGAAATGTTTGTTGTTTCTTGTTCTTAAATGTATGTAAATTATGAGTGAACAGTTTATATTGCACTAAAACTCATAGCACATTCTCTGAAAGTGTATAAAGTAGACGTTCGATTGCAATGGCAATCTTTTGTGTATAATTCAAAGGTCAAAGAAGTTTTTGAAATATAAATTGTTTCTCCAGATTCTTGAACATATAAGGAATAAAACGTGATGTAAAAATGGATAATATGTGGTTTCTAAAGCACAAACGGTATGAACTCCGTACACTTGAAAATAACTCGTAAAACAATTATAGAAAAGAAATCTGTGCTCAGTGTAGTTCAACGTGTATCCACTAAGATGGCTACGGTATACTATTCTTACAAAGCGGGAAATTTAAAGTGGAGTACTTATTGGAATGTATTAATGTATCTATTTTTTAGCAGTATAACTTATTCCTTTATTGGCTTTGTTGGTTATTAATGCAGATAAAATGTATCCAGCAAAAAACCGTACCATAAGTAGGAATTACACTGGTTAACGTTACCTACATTCAAAATTTGGGTTAGGAAACTGGCAAAAGAAGTATTTATAAACGTTGAGTTTAGGATCATGGGATTTTTCACTCTACGTTATAATTAATTAATATAAAAATTTCAGAGCTTACAACAAAAAGAGGTTATGTGGGATGGTGTTTCTGAATTGATAATACAGTGTTAATACTGCTTACGTTTACCAGACGAAGCGCTACTTATGGGCAAGAATACTCTCGCCCAAGTTGCTATCTAATAGCACTGTCGACTTGTACGATGGTATTTACACCTCGGAAGTGCTATCAGACAACTCTGCAAGAAATCAGTAACTGAAGATTATATATTTATTCGATAATAAATGTACACGTCACTTACAACTAAATTTAAGCACTATTAATAATAACGAAACCCCACCGATTGGATGCCATCTTGGTTCCCATAATTTGAATGAACTACATACTATCGGCATTGAATAATTCAATCGTTGAGTGAAGGATCTCAATGTTATCGGTATTATATCAAAATATGATTTCACACCCAAACAAATAACATTCAATTATGAGTTAGTATTGCTGACTTGCAAATCTGGTTTTCCTAAAAATATTGCGTGGATTGTCCTTTGTGATCATAAAGGCTGAGTATTCCTTAAGGCCGATTCACATTATTATCGGTCAGGTTACGGTCAGAACATGAACAGTACAGAAATACACGGTTACAATAATTGACCGCACCGTGTTCTGACCATGATGTGACCGATGGCCTTATATAAACGCACTGCAATGACATCGTTCGGTAAAATGATAATCGGAAAAAAATGTACTCGGTGTCGGAAGTCAATCTTCGGAAATGTGTACAGTCGAAGGATAGCCTAAAACAATCCATTAATAGAACTATATTAAAATAAAGATCCTCAACTTTACTTACCTAGGTAGGTACTGGTTTTTTTTTGTTATTTTGCAGTTAATAGAAAATCAGGTAAACATAATCCATAACATAACCCAACTTTGAATGGCATTTCAGGAATTACAATTACTATAGGCACTGTTATTGGCATTCAATTGAATTACTGAACAAAACCGCATATTATGGTAAATAAGTATTTTTAGGTAGAATTTATTTCGCAAGATCACTAAATTCCCTTTTTAGAGTTACGGAACGATATTTACAGTTACAGGTGGTAACCAAAGATAAGCAAAATACTATTTTTAATTTTATCTCAAGACGAATGTATGCGAGTGTCAGCGACCTAACGAAGTACAAATAGGGATCGCGGATTCGGGATGGCAGCACAAAGCAACGAATATTTCAAAAATACTTCTTAGTTCACTTTTCTTACACCATGGCGTGCAAACGCACCCTTAAGGCGGCTAGGGACAGGCCATTCAAAATGTAAGCTGTGCCTACGCAAATAATTATATAGGCAACCAATCGTGCAATTCGACAAGTTTCACCAGGCATTAGCTACCTGCAAATGACCTCATCTTCCTACAATAAAACCAGATTCCAGACCCTCATTAGCGGCTATTCAACAAAAGTAACTGATTTATGGAATTTCAACTTTCTCCTGATGTTTTACAGTTTTACTAATACTGGAAACCTTTGAATATAGAATAGGAAATCAAAGCTGAAAGCTCTACATACCTATATAAAAATATTACTAATGTATTACTTTCTAAGATATCATTCCTACTTACTTCCTATATAGGGATTTACAATAATGACTTTTTGAGATTTGGACTTAGGTAATGAAGGGAACAATTTCCGAAACAAGAAAAACTGGTCTTCAATTTTTGTGGTTCATAGCACAAATTTATTTAAACAATTATCACATCCGATCAAACTACGGCCCCATAGATTTCTAAATTTATATGATAACGATTTTCACAGGTGCGCGGATGTAAGAATAGTACTTTTCTTCAATTAGATGAACAGTTTTCGATATTTCGCATGGCTTCCGCAATGTAGCCCGGTATTTACTGCGATTTCAACCTTCCCCCATTTATCAAATTATATGTATATCTGAATTCTGATCTAATTTACAACAAAATAAATGACTCATTTTTCATTACAAAAAATGTTTTAATAGATTTTCAGAAATTTTCCAATTCCAACACGACATTCGCCTGATGCTTTACGAAAATAGTTTATTTGGCTAGCCGTCAAACCTACAGTGGAATTATCAAAAGCATAGGTAGATTAAAAAATTATCAAAGTCCTCGTGTGGGATCGAAGAGAGATCAGCGCATTTTTGTGTGGCAGATCAGTATTGTATTAGCCACCATCAAAAAGATCTTATCGCAAGCTAACACATTCCCTTTGTCGGTACCCGCTTCCGACGTCCCGTTCACCCACAATTCGCATTTAGATGAATTTTGCTAAAAACTCTCCACAAAATAGTTTTCAATTTTTGGGGTACTTCTCATAGCTCTATTAGCGAGAAAGAGAGATCGCGATTCGAGCTTTCAGAAACAAAATTCGCAGAGGAAGATACCTTTTGGGCACCCTAAGTCAACTACCCCTCGCAGACGTGCGCCTTGTAAAATGAGGTTAATTTCGTACCCAGGAAAAAAACAAATTTTCGCCACGCAGTTATTGTGTCCGTTTACAAGATCTTTCCAACGGCACCAATTTGAAAACAATCTGAAAACTGATAGTGGAGTAAAAACTTCAAACTCGAATTGCGGATGAGCGAGACGCCGGAAGTGGGTACCGAGAAAGGGAATGTGGTGGTCCCCGCCAAGATCTTACTGATGGTGGAGGTGGAGTAAAACTTCAATCGCAAATTGGGGATGCACGGGACGTCGGACGCGAGTACCGACGAAGGGAATGTGGTAGCTTCGACAAGATCTCACACGAGGACTTTGACGTTTTTTTACTAACGACATGCTGAAATAAAAAATTATCACTTGTAATACTACTAGTGCTTGCTATTTCCGGAAACTTTTCGAGCTCACAAATAGGTATTTGAACTTTCGCAAAATATTCGTGAGCATGAAAAAAATTCTATTCAAGCTCTGTGGTATTCGGTAAGAAAATTTCACACCATAGTGACCCTCAACGAAAAAGTGACGTTTTATGTCAAAACATTATTACCTTTTTACGTCAAAAAATTGACGATAAATTCCTTGGTTGCCATGGAAATGTGACACGAAATCCGCATTTTATTGGTCGACAAAATTGCTGGTTGAAATTCTCGTTGAGATTTGTCACTTAAAGTATGTAAGACACAAGATTATCAATTTTTGTATGAACAGTTTTTTAACAGAACTGCTAGATTCAAGAAGGTGCCGACAACAAACAATTCGTTATGTTTATCTATAATCGTCCAAATTGTACATAATTTTTATGTAATCGATATTATTAAATTGCTTTTTGATAAGTAGGTAACAATACACCTACATCAAATGTATGAAAAAAATGTATGAAACGGGTCTAAAAAATTAAAACGTTGTTACTCCTGAATATTACATTTATTGACATTATTGGTCAATTATCGTTGGTACTAATAGACGAATAAATAGAAGGCATTGAGATTCTTTTGTTACTGGTCTAATAGAGTCATAAACCATTGTATATAAGTATAATGGTCATTAGGTGTTAATATTTTCCAGGTAAAAGTGCTACCTGAGTTGCCTATCGTCATTGTATGGAAGCATAGTGTAAAGAATAGAATAGTGAAACAACCTTACGAAGGAAAAGGGAAACTGATTTGGACATCGAGAATTTTTAGTTCTGGACGCGACAATCGGAAAGGAGGGCGTTGCTGTCACGGATTTTAAAAGTGACTCATGCTACAAACCTTCCACATTACATTGCCAACTTACACTATACGAGTTAAGGGGACGCTTTTTTCAACGATCTATTTATTATAATTTTTCATTTCACTTTGTTACATATGAAAGAGAAAGATGTAGAAAAAAAGATCGCGAAATAATGCTCCTTTGTTCTTTTATTTTAACTGCCTTCAGTTTAAATCACATTCTGCAAATAAAGATTAAAAGTAAGGTGAAGGTTACGTTACGCATTACTACTGTTCGTGTTTATCTGGCCTTATTTGACATTTTGCTTCGAGAAAAGCGCTAAAAGTAAAAGATGTAGAGCACGTGTTGTTCGAGGTATTTTCACTACAATACACCTACGCAACTATCATAATTGAATATAAAAATTGGGATTTTTTTAATTCAGTGCTGCTGTATGCTATAATCCCTCGGTGCAGGAATAGGATAGTATCAAATTTTAGTATTCATTTGGGGTTGTGTTGGTTGATATGATGAAACATGTGCAAAGGCACAAAGTGAAAAATTCGTTAAGCCGCTAAGCAAGAGGCGAAGAGTGCACTTTCAAATTTGTTTTTTCGATTTTAATAGCCCTTATGGACATTCATGCCAACGAGTAAACAAACATGAAATAATTTTTAATTTCTGATCGAATTGCACCAATACCAAGTATGTAAGTGGTGTAGTTCCG